ATTGGACATCTAAGCTCCAGCCCACAATAGCTCAAAATGGAAGAAATCCTTTAGAAAAAAGAAAAAAAAGAAAAGGCATAAGCTCCCGCCCACCAGAGCTCTAAAACAATGCAAATCCTTTAATTTTGCGTGTTAAATTTGTTCATGAAGAATTCAATTGGGTCAATGCATGTCAAGCCTTAAGAAGCAAAACAAAAAGGAAGTGGCTATTCTCACCCGGGGTGTGAATAGAAATACAATCGACCTCTCACTCCGGGTGAGACTTGCCACCGTAGGCTATTCTCACCCGGTGTGAAACAAGACCTGTTTTTCCTAATTTCGGAATACTTTCTATCGATGTGGATGATCAAATGGATAAAGGCAAAGAAAAGATTACGTTATAGCACAAAAGTAAGCTAATTTGATCGACTACAAAGATGCTATGGCTATTCACTTTTCGAATCGAGCCGAACTACGGGGGTCGCCATTTTGTTTTGCCCGGAAGTTCTCGCAAGATCTACTCCTCCCCTCTTCTCTCTCTCTATCTCTTTCTGAATACTGTCTATCGGTGTGGACGATCAAATTGACCAAAACAAAATTTTTAAATGATGTTAAAACACAAAAGTATATTAATTTGGTCGTCTACAAAGATGCTACAGCTATTTAACTTTTCGAATCGATCCGAACTACGCGGGTTGCCATTTTGTTTTGCACGGAAGTTCTCGCGCTACTCCTCTCTCTCTCTCTCTCTCTCCCTCTCTCTCTCTCTCTCTCTCTCTCTCTCTCTCTCTCTCTCTCTCTCTCTCTCTCTCTCTCTCTCTCTCTCTCTCTCTCAGTTTTGTGTTTGTGCATCATTTTGTTTCTGTCTCCCCTTTCTCCCTCACTCGCTGTGCGTTTATATGTGTGTCTGTGCGTGTATATAAGTGTGTATCTCTGTGTGTGGTTGTTTGTGTGTATGTATGTGTGTGTGAGAGAGAGAGTGTGTGTGTGAGAGAGAGAGAGAGAGAGAGAGTGTGTGTGTGTGTGTGTGTGTGTGTGTGTGTGTGTGTGTATGTGTGTGTGTGTGTGTGTGTGTGTTGGGAATCGAGTCAAATAGTTTTCTATTACTATTAGGGTAATTTAATGATTTGTTTATTGTAAAGTGGCTTACTCTAGCCTATTCCATATCGTCATACTTCACATTTTCGTAAAAACACATACGTTCGACACTTTGCACGTTTTTGTTTGTTTTGGTTTTTTTACTGACTTTTAACAGATAAAATCAAGGAGGTTTTTTTGAAACATTTTCAGTGCACTAAACTGTGATCTGCTTATTTCGGGTCCAATACAGCCATTTTTCTTCTTGTGTTATATTTTCATTATAATCAAAAGTCAGCAAACAGCACCACACTCCGAAAAGCGGTAATGTTAGTTATCGTATAATGATTAGACTCTTCGTCGCTGCAAGCAGAAAATGCAAGTTCGATCCCCTAGTGGGGAAGTTATTTTATCCACTTTTCCACCAAGTCTGAGGAGTGCCATGACAGGCAGGGTCGAGCAAACTTTCTCCTGAAATGATCTAAACTGTGTCTCTAGGGGCTTGAAACTATTAGCCTACAGTCAATCAAAATGAAAAGCAACACACCAAAATATAAGATAAACCCAACACAGCATGTTTTCCGTCTATCACTACCGTCTCCTAATAAGTCACAACATTTGACACGTCATCATGATTATTGCATTATAATAATAACAGTAATGAAATGATAATGATATAATCCCAATGATAATACTAACAATAACAATACTATTAACAACACAACAAAAATGATAAAGTAATACGGTTATCATCAATCATGATCATTATCATGATCATCATCATCATCATCATCATCATCATCATCATCATCATCATCATCATCATCATCATCATCATTATCATCATTATCATCATCATCATCATCATGATCATTATCATGATCATCATCATTTGTTATTATTGTCATTATAATTTTTTAAATTATTATTATCATTATTAGTATTGTTATTATTATTATTATTTTTATTATTATTATTATTATTATTATTATTATTATTATTATTATTATTATTATTATTATTATTATTATTATTATTATTATTATTATTATTATTATTATTATTATTGTTATTATTATTATTAATATTGAGCCGTTGGCAAATCAGAATCAAATAAATATAAGGCAGATAATTCCTATGTTGTTGTTATTTTTGGTGGAGAAAATTTAAAAGTAATACGATAAAAAGAAAATGTAATCTTGTCACTCATGGTATTGTGTACATTTTCCTCAGCCCAGTGGCCAGTGAAAGAAGTTCGCCAAAACCTTCACCATGTGGAGAATCTGAATGGGTTGGTCAACAAGTTGTTGAACACAAGCTACTTCTATCTGGGAATGGTAAACACAATGATGATAAAAAACAACAACACATGATTATTGTTATTGGTTCCGCTGCAAACTACTAAAATCACGACGTTTGCTTGGAATAAG